GCCGGTGCTGCGGGGGCCCAGGAGGGACGTGGGTCACCGCGGAGGCCGGTGAGTCGTCGGGGCGAGGGGGGGGAGTGCGCAGAGGTGTCGGCATCCCTCCGGAGGCCGCTCCGGGGGGGACACCGGGAGGGGCCCGATGCGCCGCCGCGGGGCCGGGGGGGAGCGGAGCGGTGGCGGGGAGCGGTGGCGCCTGGCGCCCGCCGCCGCCCGTGAGTAAGAGTTCCAGGTTTGGCCAGTGATGTGGAAGGAGCTGGGCTGAAGTTACCCTGGCACCCCGGCGTCTATAGGCGGGTGCGTTCCCCTGTCGGCTCCTGTTGAAAAGACGTTGCCAGGGGAGGTGCGTGCCCGTGCACGAAGCTGCCATTACCTTACTTCCCCAAACAGGGATTTCCATCCTGTTATTAAAAAAAAAATAAATAAAAAATGCTGCAATTCGCAAGACAAAGTTGGCACAAGAACTTTGGTGTACCCGCATTAAAGTTTCCTTTCAAATAATCTTTCACAACTTGTGTCGTCCTTCGTGTCCCTCAGCCAGAGGTTATCAGTGCCACAACTTCCATAATAGGGCTCTGGAAGGCTGAGGAGCCAGTGTGTATGCATGGGGTGGTTTTTTTTTTCTCCACTCTCGGTGGGAAGGTATGACATGTGCTTTTGGGGGATAATTTCTGAAGTTAGTGAGTGTAAATTCCCAGCACACGCCCGGAAGTAATATAAGCTTAAGGGGTCACTTTTCTCTCCCACCTGTGAGTGGTGACCTCCTTGATAGATACGAACAAAAGGGGCATATGCTTGTGCTGAGCCTCAGCCACTTCATCGCTTGAATTCCATTTTCTCTGTCAGTTCAAGGGAAGATGTTGGCCATCTGTTAAGTACTAATCCATATTGGAATGCAGGCAGCAGCAGTTACTTTACTGTTGTGATCTGACATCACAAAACTGATCCTTTCTTCTCAGAAGTATATATTCAGAGCATTCTCATACTTGGGCTGTTGCTAGCATTGCAGCCCAAAGATAGCCAGAGGGGTTTCAGCTGTGTCAAAAATATTTTTACAGTCTAGAGGCTATTACTGATAGCGGTACATGATCCATGATTTTGCAAATGCATTTAACAAAGTTAAGACAGTTTGAATTAGAAATCTCTAATCTCTAAAAACATCTAGTTGTACAATACCATGCTTCATCACTCCTGCAAATATAGTGCTGCATATCTGCCTTCCAGGTGCATTATGTTTAGGATTGAGGCCTGTCTGCTCCTATACGAGCTGTAAACTGTAAATTTTCCCCTCCATAAATAGCATGTCTGATTTTCCTCACAGACATACACCCAAGGGATTGAATTAGCCTGCCAAAAAGAAAGAGAGTTCGTGAAGCACTCTGTAGAATGCACGTGGAACCTAGCAGAAGCCCAGCAAAAACTTGGTAACTTAGCACTGCATAATTCAGAATCCCGTGATCAGGAATGTGCTCAAGCAAAGACTGAAGCTGCAGAGTTGAGATGGAGAGAGGAGGAATGGAGAAGAAAAGAAGAAGCTCTAAACCAGAGGGAAAGACAGAATCTATGGAACACAGATCTTGCTAGTAAGGAGGTATTTAATAAGGTATGACCCATATCAGTGTGCATGAAAATAACTGTTAGCCTCCTTTTTTCATTCCACTTGTTACTAGTCTTGAATGTGTTCTGTGTCCAGTACAGTACAAATCCGTGGTTAAGTGTTTTTTGTTTGTTTCATACCGCTGCCTCATGAAAGGGAGCAAGCTGCACTCATATGACAAATCTCTTCCAGAAGTCCAGAACGGGTCATCTAGGTGTTAGATAAGAGCCAGCGATCTGCATTTGCAGCCCAGAAAGCCAACCATATTGTGGGCTGCATCCCCAGCAGGCTGAGGGAGATAATTCTGACCCTCTACTCCATTCTGGTGAGACCCCACCTGGAGTACTGTGTCCAGCTCTGGGCCCTCCAACATAGGAGGGATATGGGCCTGTTGGAGTGAGTCCAGAGGAGAGCTATGAATATGATCAGAGGGCTGGAGCACCTCTCCTGTGAGGACAGGCTGAGAGAGTTGGTGGTGTTCAGCCTGGAGAAGAGAAGGCTCCTGGGAGCCCTTACCAACCTTACTGTGGCCTTTTGCTACTTAAAGGGGGCTTATAAGCAAGAGAGAAAGAGATTTTTATATAATGGCCTATAGTGATAGGACAAGGGGCAATGGTTTTAATCTGAAAGAGAGTAGGTTTATATTGGATATAAGGAATAATTTTTTTTTTACAATGAGGCTGGTGAAACACTGGAACAGGTTGTCCAGAAAAGCTGTGGATGCCCCATCCCTGGAAACAATAGAGGTCAGCTTGGATGGGGCTTTGAGCAATCTGATCTAGTGGAAGATGTCCCTGCCCGTGGGAGGGGCGGGGTGAAACTACATTATCTTTAGATGTCTCTTCCAGCCCATACCACTCCATGATTCTAAGTAGTGCAAGAATTGCCAAATATGCTGAACAATAGTTTCTTCACATGAAGAGTGTGCTTTTCTACTGTGCCAAATTCTTAAAATGTGAAACTCTTAGTTTGCCTCTAATAATGCCCGCTGTAATACAGATTATTTTGCATGAACTTTTTTTTCCGAGTAGAATCTCAGCTTTGATTTCACAATTTAATTTGAAAGGTAGCACATCTCTTAATTTAGCTGCATTGAGGCTGCGTGATTTTCATGTTGACAGATCAGAAGTTCCTACATGAGGACAGAAGTTTCTCAGAGTTCTTTTGTCGGTAGACTATAATGAGACTTTAAAACTCTATTATTAGGTAATGTGCTTTTTTAAGGAAAACCTTCTCAAGTATATGGCATGACTCTAAAATTAGAACATAGTCCTTTAAATAGCAACATACTAAAATATAATACTTCTATGTATCACAAAAAGGTATGTCTCGAGTTTCTGTGATAGTACAATTTTTCTCTCCCTCAGAGTTTTATTAATCAAAAAAGAAAAGAAATAGAAGATGAAGATGTGTCTGAACCACGTATGCAAAAACACGAACAAAAAATTAGACACTTTGGTGAGTGTGTTGTTTCCAACATTTTGCAACTCAAATTTTGACAGAATTTGTGTAAGTTTGCTCCTTATTGTACAGATGAATGCTGACAAACCAAAGACCTGGCTAACGGACTGCTCAGCTTTATTTTATCAGGACAGATAATAATTTCAAAGTAAAATAAGGTCTAAACTGTAGAAGTTGTGACCAATAAGAACTTAAATTAAAAAAACTAAAAATGAATACTTGAATGAGCTTAAGCCCTGAAAACTAAAGCTCTAGCAACTTTTTCTGCTGTTCAGTGGGAAAAGGCAGGGACATTCATAGAAATATGTCGTGTGTGTGAAAGTGCATTGGGATTGTCCATAACTGTCTCCTTTTAAAAAATGTTTTTTCTGGTGGCTATTAAGCTACAAGGGTAATGACTGATTAAAGGGAAATGTGTGTGTATGCCTACTGAAAGTACGGGTGCGTGTGCATGGAATTATGCACTTCTTAAAATTATATTTAATTATCCACTAGGTGTCACTTCAGCTCTGTCATAATTGTTGAACCCAATTAAGCAGAAAGCTGATCTTGTAAAGTAGTCTGGAATTTTGATGATTCTCTGAAGTGCTTTCCATTCTTAGTTATAGGCTGGTTTCAGGCTACGATATAGTATAGCTATATTTGGAATTCCAGAACAATCGAGAACAAGACTGAGTAGGCAAAATTTAATTCTTTGTACAAACTCATTTTTACTAAGCTATTTGGCTTCTAAGGGTCTTAAACTCTTTTTAAGGAATGGGTTTCTACCCTGTTTGGCCTTAGTAAGCCTTGCAAGTACCAAGCTGAGCCACAACACTGTCAGAGTGGGCAATTAGCAGTGACAGGCAGAGGTTCTCTCAAATACCTTAACTGCTGAGTGTAACGGTAGCAGAATCAGAAAATGTCTCCTCTGCTGTGCATTTCAGCAGAAAAATTGTGTGTTTCTTGCAAGCTTCCTAGCTAAGAGTTGGGCAAAATCACTTTGTTGTCTAAATTCAGATTAAGCTGTTACAGAAACAACCTTATTGCAGAAGTTCATAGATTTTTTTCTTACCTCCTAAATTCAAAGCCATGTTGTTATTTTAATTCAAAATATATATGTCCATTGTAAAAAGGAACAGTACATTAATGCTGTCTCAAGTCTCTTGTTCTGTGCTAGCTGTTTCCGAGCTGTGGACTTTGCTAGCCATATTGGATGAGTCCTGTTTCTGCATCCTCCTCTGGCTTCCAGGCAGTAAAGAACTTATGCATGATAGCTCTCTTGAAAACAGCCAAAAGAAGTATTAGCCATTGCTTTCTCTTCAGGCATTTGTTTGCTAGAATTAAAATTGCCATAGGTCCTTACCACTGAATTATCTTTAGCCCAGTTATAATTATACGCTGATACATGGGTGAAGCTGTACATCTGGTACCTGTTGCCAGTAATGAATTGACTGTCAGCAATACATGAATGACAATTTTAAGAAGTGGTGTGAGTATTGAGTTCTGATTTTTAAACTCGGCTCTTTACAGGAAGGTAGCTTCATGCTGTCACAGTTCAGTCTTGTAGTTAAGTTTCCAGTACTGATGTGGCTTTGCTTTTTGAGACCAATCTGTTCCTGTAATTAAATTCAGATTTCCTAAAAACCTAGCAAATCATGTGTTAGAAGCACTTTTGTTTTGACAGATTACACATTACTTTCTTTGCATTCTCACTTGCAAACATTTAGAGGATTTGTGTTTGTCAGAATATTTGTCAGAATATAAATCTCTATCCATAAACTTTTTAAACTATTTGATGAGGTAACTAATGGATACCTACACCGCTTTGTTAGCATATATGCTAGCTAATTAAAAATAACATCAACGATTTTAGAGATGCATTAAAATATAGGAAATTGTGGCTGTTAAAATCTACTTTTTAGTATTTCAAAGTCTGATTGAACCTTCGGGCAATGCTCTTTCAGCATTGGTTCGATGTATTAACAAAACCCCCAAATTTAGCTGCATGCTGTCATTCTGAGATAAGTGAGAGTTGCAAAGGTGTTGTATATACAGGGGCACCAATGCAAGTAACTTCCTTGCTGCATTAAATTATTTATCCATTTAGAATATCTTAACTATGTTTCTCTTATTAGGTATGCTGAGCAGATGGGATGATAGTCAGAGATTTTTGTCTGATCACCCATATCTTGTATGTGAAGAAACATCTAGGTATCTCATGTTGTGGTGTTTTCATCTAGAAGCTGAACAGGTATGACAAAGATGTTTAAATTGTTTGAAAGCATACACTGTCCCGCATGTAGTGTAGAAAAGCTGACCAACTTGATTAGCTGTTTAACTGTTCTTCCCACCCTCTCTCTACTTTACTGAAGAAAAACTTTATAGCACATTCTCACATATATGTCTAGGTATAGCTAATTATCAGTCCCCTTTCTTCTGTAAGCATCAGTTCTTAACTGTTTAGGAAGGAGAACAAAAGGAAATTAAGCTGAATTTTTGAAATATAATATTTAAATCATAACTTTAACCTTTTTTTTCCTTTTTTTTTTCCAGAAAAGAGCTCTGATGGAGCAAGTAGCACACCAAGCAGTTGCAATGCAATTTATTATAGAAATTGCTAGAAGCTGCAATGTGGATCCACGAGGGTGTTTTCGTCTCTTTTTCCAGAAAGCCAAAGTAAGTCAACTTGGGTAATGATGGAAGAAATTCTTGATGATGTACAAGGGACCAGTGTTGTAGAGAAGGTTTCTTCCTAACCATAAGAGGCTAAATATTGTTTTGACTGACTTAGGCTTATGGGAAAATGTTTTCTTAGCGATTCATTTCTAGACAGAGTATTTTGGTGTAATGCCAATTCTGAAAATTAAAGTTTAGTGGATTTTGCTTATCCCAGAGGGAAAGCAAGGTACAAGAGAGGGACAACAGGGGTGTTATAGATAAGTAATAACTAAATAACAACAGCAGATACAGGCCAGTTTCAGGACTGATTCTGTCTAATTACACCTGTGCTTTCAGAGGGTACCTACGTGTTGTCACAACTTTCCGTTCCATCTGCAGATCACAGTCAGGCCCAACCATGTCTCTTTCTCATTACTGAAACTGTGGTTTGCTGTAGACTATGCAGTTATTCAAGACTCTGATGGCCTTAAATATTGCCTAAAGGAGTTCAGTTAAAGTGCAGGTCAGCTTGGACTTTGCTTCTGTGCAGAGTGGTACAACAAGCACCTGTTCTTCTAAGGGTACTGGGTTCTGATTTGGAATAAGGGAAAGGCTAAAATTTGATTTATTTTAACATGTCCTTAGATAAATAAATTACTTTGCTTCTACATATTATAAATACTACAGATTGTCTTAAAATGAAGCCTACCTGAAATTTCATTTTATACTGATTACCATTATTCTTGAGTTGTTCACAGTTGTTATGCCCAAAGGATATGATATGTCTCACTGTGTGGGTTTTTTTCAGCACTGTATATGCTTAACACTCAAAAGTAAATCTGGCTGAAGCATGAGTATTTCATTTTTCTCTTTGCAGACAGGAGAAGGCTATTTTGAGGCTTTCAAAAATGAACTTGAGGCATTCAAGACAAGAGTGAGAATCTGGTCACAATCACATGGCTTTCAAACTACGTTACTACACGATCTCAGTCTCAATCCTGGTCTTTTAGGAGAGCTGACATCTTTTTCACAGGTAGGTTTATTATTTCTAGAAATTAATTTAACTAAAGTAGGATTAAGTCCTGCCTTTAGAAGCTGTACCTTTTTGAAATATAGAGAGGATTATTCCTAGAACTGCTACTGCTCAGGATATTATTGCTATGCAAGGTGTATGTGGGCTTTCCTTTTACTTGCTGGAATTCAGAAAACATCAGCATAAGGTCAAAAGCATGTGTTAATTCAGTGCCCTTACATTTTCATGCTTAAAATAAACACTTGCTTCATAATCACAATTGTCTTCACCACAAACAGTGAAATGAGCTTTCAGTGTGAAATGACTAATCCTGCTCATGGGATCATTCAGGTAAGTCAAGTCTAAGGGAGGTCTCTTGCTATCTTAAAAGGAAACTGAGGGTACTTAAGTCTTTCGTTATAGTACTAGCAACGGCCACATTCCAGAATGAAGAAGCAATTTAAAATATGATAAAAAATTAGGTATTAGGGAAGAACTCACAAATGAAACTAGTTTGAAATAATTTGATTAATGTACCTCTCAAGTCAGATCCAACAGCTGAATTTTAAGTCAATGTGCAGTCAAGTGTAGAAATACTGAGACCAACTATAAGCTAGACCAAGAAATCTAGAAAATTCTTAACACAGTGAGATAATATTGGTTGATGAACTTTTCAGAGCTTATTTCCTTATTATTGCAAATTTGTCTCATCTTAAGATGCAAAACACGAAGAGTCCAACTTAAGCGAAAATCTCTTTCTCTCTTTTTCTCCCTCCATATATACATTTACGGAGAATTAAGCTGTCAATTTTTCATCTGTTGCAGAACACAGGGGATCTACGAGGTTCCATAAACACAGAAGACTGCAGTTTAAACTCTGTGATACAAAGAGATGAAGAAGAATCCAAAATGATGGACACAGTATAGTACTCTTAAGACTGAGGCCAAGTACTCTTTTTTTTTTCTTTTTTTCTTTTCAAAGAAACAAACATGGCTATTTTCTTGACACTTATTTTTCTGGGTACTGCACTTTATTTTTGGTGTCAGATTTTTTTTGTTGTTGTTTTTTGGTTTTAGGGGGGAAGGGATTTTGAAGGGTGGGTAATTCAGAAAAACTTTTAATATTGTTTGAAAATGTGCTGCTAGGCTTTTGGTTGTCCGTGAAGAGCAGGGTTCTCATATTGCCGAATGTGAAACTGGATGTGTTTTCTGCTACTAACCTTGCCTTTCATGACTTTAGAAATTAAAGTATGAAAAAAAAAAATCTGCACAAATACAATGTTTACAAGAAGTGGTAGATTCTTGGTGGAATCTGCTATTGTTTTACTACAGATGTGGACATGTTTTACTCTATGAATATTGGAGATCACAACTGTATTCATGCTACTTGCTGACATTATAAGCTCTCAAATTTGGTTATCACTAATAGCAATAAATCATTATCTGGTATCAGTATTTCAAATCTGAATGGGATAGATTAAAACACTGGCTTTCTACCTCTACTAAGGGGATTTAAATGTTACATTGTGCTTTCATTAAACATGACTTGGTTTTGTCCTAAAATGTAAGCAATGCTTGTCTACATCTGAGTGCTGGATTGTATGATTTCTGAGAGTCTGACTCTCTTCTTGTTTATAAGGCTAACTTCAGATTGTTTTTTTAAACCAAGTCTCATTACGGGGAGAAATACTTGATGGAGGGAACTTGAGGTGCAAGGGTTAAGCTAAGACTTCAGTCTAAACAACAAGCTTTGTTACAGTTTATATAGGGCAAGGTGTCTTGCAGGGTTTGAAAGGTATTTCATATGCTACTAATCTAAAGTGGGTTTCTGACATTGCCAACTCAAACAATTAAAAGTGGAAAATCATTAAAAGTTTCCTGTTTGATGAGTAGAAATCCAAATACTGTTTTTTGATAAGGCCTTCTGCAGAATCTCTGCAATCCAGAATTCTACTGTGCTTTTCTAACCTGCTGCTATTACAGCAGTTCTGCTCTCTGTAAATGTATACTGCAGTTGGAAGACTCCAGAGAAGACCTCTCATATCTCAAATAATGGTATCGGTACACACATTCAGTTCTTTACTATATTGTTATTATTGTACTTGAGGTCTGGAAGGTACCTAGATTTCAACAGTTCAATGAACACAGTCTACCTGCAGCTGCTGATTCAGGCAAGAGCTGTGTTGAGATCCAGTGATTTTCAGTTTGGCTGTAGCAGAGATGGGGAAAAGCCTAAGTCTGCAGCATATACCAGAGTGAGTATTGGTACAGCTGCAGCAGCAAAAGTAGGAACCCCAGATATACTGATAGAACCAGCATTTCATGTGCCTTGTGTTCTCCAGCAGTGCTTCTGCAGACAGACTGAGGATAAAGGAGCAGCTCTGTCCCAGATGCAAATTAGAAATAACCAGCTTCAGTAGTAATTTTTGACAGATAGTCCAGAAAGGATAAGTAAACACTGCCTTCTCCTTAATAATTATTTAATTATTAAGGGAAACCAATAACTTCAGGTTGTTTTTTAACTGAATGTTTTGTACAAGGGTATTAAGGGCAGAGTCACACAGTGACTTGCAATTGCTACCATTAGCATTAGAGCCACACTGATCTAGCAACCTGTGACATACTGAAAGTTATCTTTAAAGTTTTTAAGGGGCTAAGATTGGATGGTGTGGGACTAAATGTCAAATCATAAGGAGATTCCCTACCCTGCCTCCCTCTGGCTAACTGAAACTTACGTAGGCTGGCAAAAAGACAAGCATATACTGAAATCAAAATGCACAAATAGAAGTAAGCAGCACATCAGTGTTTCTGATTGTAACGTGGTAGCTACTGTTTTCTAACCATGACTTTTTTAAGGAAGTGCCTCTCTAAACTCACCCAGTCTACAGCCTCCATATAGACATTTGTGAAGATGAAAGTACAAGTGGTCAGCCTTTTGGCAAGCTTTCTTTCAAATCCAAGGAAGCCTGCCTGCAGCAATAGCTGCTACCCATTTTGTTCATTTATAGCAATGGGAAAACTTTACAAATTCTACAATTATCATATTTTTCTTAGAATCAAATGAGTCTCAATATTGATAATGCTAAAACTAGATGTGCAAATGTAGCCCCAGGTACGTCAGAACCACAGCTCTGTAGTTGTTTGCCAACAGTCATTGCAAAAGGAGATTGGGACCTGCTACGGTACGACACACCTACTTCAGACATTGTCTAGACAGAGTTGTTTGTTCCTCAGGTTTTGCTGACTCTTCTTTAAACTCTCAATCTGGTGAGCATCAAAAAAGAGCTAGGAGAGTTCACTGGAAAATACCAATGTCTGCATTACCTGAACTGTTAAAAAGTGTGGCCTGTGGAGGTTTGTAACTGCAGGTACCTATTGAATGAATAAATGCAAGAGCTGGTTGAAGACTTGAATTAGTAGTATGATCTCATGAGAACCAGACCAATTGCTACAATAAAACTATAATATGACAGTTAATAATTTGACCATTGGAAATCCTGGCACTGGCATCAAGGAACAGTTGTTCTTTCAAAGACAGTAGAAAAGACACATTCACTAGTCAAGATCACCTAGCTACAGGCTTACCAGATTACACTTAATCTGTTCAGTATTTACTGTCTTTTTACTAATAAAGCCTTATACAGCTGCACAAAGATGGGGGAGTTACCAAACGTGTTACGTATCATTGAAACTGTTTCTCATGCCTGCAAGATAGCTGTTCAGAGGGCAGGAATATAAACATAGTAATACAGCCAATCATCCAAGCAAGTGTTAAAGGTAATTTAAGCACAGCAAAATCAACTAACATCTGTGCAAGCAAAGCTAAAAGAAGGTGACTGTCTTCCATGAGATCAACCTATATGTATGCCAGTTCTGGTCTGGAATGGCTCTTTGCAGAATGGTGGTCATGGTTCCCCACAGCTTCTGGCTTGCCCACACAATCAAGAAACATGCTTTCATGTCCTTGTCCTTGCTTCACACTACAATTCATGAGTGAGTAAATCAATGTGTTTTGTAATTAAGCGGTATTCTGAAATATGTTTTCTTCAACAGTCAGTATTTGCAAATTTATGTATTTTCTGAATAAGAGACACACAAGTAGCTGCTTTTGTTAAAGTCAATTACTATATTATAAAAATTAGGTACATTAAATATAAAAAATACAGCATTAAAGTGAGAACCACAGGTGACACAGTTTTATCATAATGTAAGTTAAGGACAACATTAGACTTTAATTATTGATCAGTCTGGTAGACTACACAGAGAAATCCTTGATTGCTGAATCTCATGTAATCATGTGTGAGCTATGACACACGAGCAGAAGTTAGACCTATTTTCACCTGGGAGTGTCAGCATCTTTCTGGTTCACATCTGGCAACCTGGTTAGGAGGAACGCATAGATATGTGGCCAGATCTTATTGGTTTCTGTTCCAGAGAAGGATTTCAATAACCCTTTTTCCCTAAGGAAGAAAAAGAAGAAAGCATTACAGAAGTCAAATTGTTTAATTATTCCAGGATCTCCACCTCACTTTAAGATTGCCTTGGCAGGAGTGTGCAAATATGCATGTGATTGAACACCAAGAACAGCCATAACACTGGGAAAGCAGGCTGGACATGCATTACTCTGTTCTTTAAACTGAGCTATTGGTGACATCAGTTTGTAAAACCAACATCTGTCCACAGAGTACTTAATAACAAACTGTGAAGGATAAAAATAAGAAGCAGCAGTGCAGTCATACAGCACATGCTATACAGCCATCATCCAAACATCCGTGACTAACCCAGGTATTGGAAAGTTACACCTCAAGGATCAAAGATGGTGCATCAGAACAAACAAGTGAGCCAGGCACAGTCAAGTTATTCTGATTTAGTTCTAGTAGCTGGTTTTATCTGTAAAGTATGTTATGATCAGGAATAATAGCAGCTTAGGCCTATGTCTTACTCTGGTGCTTTGAGGCATTTTCACTTCAGAAAACTACCAAAGTCAGGAAAATTATTGTCAATGCAGAAAAACTCCTTTAAAACTTAACCACCCCAAAGATGGAGCTTCTGGTCTTCTGTTCAACAGTTTTGGTAGACCATAATGAAGGGTGGTGGATATGGAGATAGAGGAAGGACAGTCACTTCAGGATGTCAAAGTCTGATTTCTTTTTCTAGGCAAGATAAGACTGCAAAGCTCTACATGGTGACCTACTAATATCTATATATTAACAATGTGATATTTGCAGCTTTACATTCAGAGAAACTTTGTGTATATTTTTGGATCTTAAAAGAACTAAGTAATTTGTTATCATTCCACAGTGCAAATGGCAGTATTCTCAATTAGCTACTTATTCTCAGAGTCTTACTAGGCTGTGCTTGTCACAGTCCTGTTCTTAGAACAGCCACTTTTAAATCCCCATTAACAGTTTTTCTATTTCTGTATCATTTCTTGACTTCTAGTCCTTATTAGCAGGGCTTCTACTTAGACACCCAGAAGACAAAATACTGTTAAATCTTTAAAAAAAGAAAAAAAAAAAGAAAAGGAACTAAGTTACTTTACTAACCAGAGCTATGTTGCTTAGAACAGTACTATAATGTATTGAATAATGCATAGCACCCTTTGCAAAGCTAAATATGGCTGCAGTAAAAGGCTGTTCTGCTAGACAGGCTCCTGAAGAAGTCTCATTCAACACTGGAAAATATACTCATTTTACTGGGTTGATTTCTTACTAAGTTGATGAAGGATACACTCCTGCTCATACCACGTTCGCTGTTGCAGTATCTCTGTAACTGAAGACATCTGTTCTGTGCTATGCTAATGTGGAAGAAGCTTTCAGAATGTGGAAGAATAGATTTTACTACTTACCGATAATATTCTAAAACCGGTTTTGTTTGTGCATCATATGCCTGCAGCCTCTTGGTAACTGTCTCTGGCTTATCGTCATCACGCTGAACAAGTGGCTCCCCAGTAATATCATCGGTGCCCTAATCATGGTTAAAAGCAAACACTGGTGTGTATTTCAGTTTGTTTTGTGTAGTTTTCTGTTTAAATTACGATCAGTTTCCAGTTAGTCAAGGTGTACATTTCTGCTTACAAAGAGAAAGCCTACTGCCCATATCTTATCTGGAATATAAGATGTTGACTTTCCAGTAAAACAATCCATCAGTTATTTTCTCAGTACTGGCAATGAACATCAGGTTATAGTAACTTCACTAATTTGTCCTCTGGAACATTTGTTGAATACAGAAAATATGTAGACAAAACCTTCATACATGAGGGAAAACAGTATTGTTGGTAATACGTTACTGCATAACAGGAAACAAGCAAGAGACCGATTTGGTATTTGTTTGACAAGACTCAAATGGAGAAAGGAGTTAATGGCCTTTTGATTTTAAGTTGCAAAATGGAAGAGTATCATTTAGCAACAGCTGTATAAAAAATGGCACAAAAGCCAGCTGAAGTTTTTCTAGGATTCAGTAAACAGGGACCTAATGTATGAACTACAAGAGCTTCTACTTTACTGCACATTTCACCCGCTATTTACTGAAGTGCTTTAAGCGATTACGGAGCTTTTAAGCCTTGAAACCAGCTATTATTGATGACTGGCACATCTTATGAAGGACTATTTAGTGGCATAAAAGTTGGCTCCTTCTTAGATGCACTAAATCGTTGTGCATCTAAGGACAGAATATGATCCACCACAGACTTAAGGGACTCTTCCCTCCTTCATACATATTAATCAAGTTCTCAGGAATTTTGACTTTTCCCTAAAGACAAGTTTAGTCTGACATTTGGAGTGGCAACATAAGTGATCTTGGAAGTACAGAGCTAATTAGACCACAAAACTATTTTCCTTTCTTGCTTGCATTCTGGCAGTCAGTTTCAGAAAATCACGAACGATCAATGTTCTGCTGCTCTGTTCCACTGTATTGTATTAGAGATGGACTTGTATGGTCAAACTTACCTTGTTTACACAATACAATCATTTAAAGCACTCAAGTATTTCTTTCTAGCATCTGTGCAGGTAGCCATCATAGCGCCTTCATGGTACCCATCAAATACTGAGCCTTCAGCCTTACAGTAACTCTAAAGCCATAATCTTTTGGTTCTGTTGATTAAGTAAGCATTTTGCAGGTGTTAGATAACGGAGACAACTGTGTTTCAGCGTTCAGCTCCGTTCCATGGTTTCACTTACATACAGCAATCTACTACGTTGGGATATGCCTGCTAATGAGTGGAAAGTAGAGTTCCTAATAGCAAAGCTGTTGCAGCAGAAGCCCACTCTTTGGTAGGTCTGATAGTTCTCTGTTGCAGCTTCCCTACGCTCTTCTGCAATTAAAAATAACCACCACGTTTTAAGCAACACAGTGTTTCTGGTTTCCCACTTCCTTCCCACTTCTTACCCCTTATTTCAGCTGGACTCTCTTCCTGCAACGCTCAAATCCAAAAACTACAAGGCCTGCTGTCCTTCTGATGGAACTTAATAGAGCTTCCAGGTGAGATGCGATGCCACAATAGGCAAGCTATTTAGAGTTAAGGATGGAACACAGCTTAAGCTGAGTTGCACTAAGCTAATCCAAATTCCTCAAAAATCTTAAAGTAATAATGTTTCATCATTATTTTCAAGTTCAGTGTTCCCCTTCTAGGATGTCTCAAGCCATAACATCTTTGATCTGCTGAGAAGCTCCCTGACTGGCAAGCTTCTACATCTAATTTTGCAGCACGTCAACTGTTCCCTTCAAAATACCCACCCTGGTTAAATGTAAACACAGGGAAGGCATTCAGTGGATTCCTCCGAACAATGATGACTCGGTGTGCTTCCGAGATAGAAAGAATGAGTCCTCTGGAGGAAGGAAAAGGACACTGCATTTTGGTCTGCACAGGCTGCAGACGTACAGAAGAGGCAAAGAACATGCCCAACTCCTACTCCAGTGCGCGAGACTGACTCTTCCAGATCAGTGAACTGCTTTAACAAGAGCTTACAAAACACCACGGTGTTTCATGCTGCAGGGGACAAACATGCTGCCCACCAGCTTGAGCTTCTACCAGGAGCACTAACATACCGTGAGAGGCAGGGTTTTACCAGAAGGGTTCTATGCTCCTAAGAGGTCAAATAAGCCTTTTCCTTCTGAGCTACTGTGTTTTGCAACAACACACGCAAACAATATTTTACTGCAACAACCAAATGCAATGCAACTTTTATTTAGAGCCAACTCCAATGGTTGTTTCTTACCTGCACTTTGGGAGGACTGAATTCAAGATTGTAGACTCTGCCACTAGCAGGGTGGATCCAACGTGCTGTAAGCCGACTTTTTATGGTCTCAAATGGCACATCTAGGTCAATCACAGTGTCTATTTGACATGTTTTATCCAGGGCTTCTGCCTGAGCAACTGTTCTGGGGAAACCTGTTTAAAGGAGACAACTCCATAAAAACCCAAAGGTAGAATTATGGCACAAATTTCCTGGATTTGGTCATTAAAGAAATTAATTGTCAGGCAGAAAAAAAAAAAAAAAAAGCATCTTCATACTGTAAAGGTTGATGAGTCATCAGATTTTCCAAGTATTTTTCAGCATGCTGTGGCACTTTGATTTGTTTCCTTATTTCAGTTAATCATCTTCCCAAAAGTGTTAAGAAATAAACACTAAAAGACCCCATACTCATATATACTACGTGCCACTCTATTGACTAAAACCATTTTATAGACATTTCAAACCATAAAAGACACAGACAGTTCACTCAGAGGTCTGGAACAACCTAGAAACATTTGTGACAACTCTGACTTGTACAGCTGTGTAAGCCTGGCTAAGGAGGTGACCATTACAAACCTATTTTACTGAGTTGCAGTAAGCCAAGTCCATCTACCAGAGGCAGTCTATAAAACAATAGCTTAAGAAAGCATTCTGGAAACTCTAGTGTATCAAACTATCCTCGGGGATGATGACTGTGAGAACACTCAGGCTGAACAGGCATCTATCTCTTCACTTAAAAGACACTGCATTTTGCCCCATGAAGTCTGTAGCTCAGTTAGTGTGCCTTCAAAGGCAGATGCTGCTACTAAAGACCAAGGTCTCCATCATCAAGAATTTAAAATGAAAAAATGATCACAGAACATTAGTGGTCAAAGCTATAGCGGAACGTGCTATTGCACCACAGATTCACAGGAGTAATACCTCTACCGACAAAGCTCTTGCACAGTCTCATGTTCTTCAGGAGCTTGTAATTTTCATCACACTACAGAAGTAAACTTCTCCAAAAAGGCATGTGCTGATAGGTACAAACTCAGGAAACTCTTCCTTGCATGACACTGGTTGATGAGTCCATTGCCTGAGTAAGGAACCAGCCAAGAACTAGCCTTAAAACAGGAGGAAAAAAAATACTTCATAGTGTGAAGGCTACTGTGTCTTGTCTAACACAACACGAAAGGTAAGAGTTTATTAACTCAGACCAAACTTTCACTTGTGCATTGTCTGGTGCACCTGGTTTGCATCACAGTCATCAACTGTGCTCATCCTATTTCTGTCACGTTCACATTATCTCATGGAAGTGCTTCTAAATGTTAAAAACAGAGAGACAGCCAGGAGTCCAGCACTGCTGTTCTTTCTTACTATTGACAAGCTAATCCACCACCACATGTCTTAGTTATGCAGCTGGAAAATGAGTTTGCTTTGGGACTCACTAATGAGAAACTTCCTCAACAAATATAAAGCATTTCATTAAAACTGAACCAGGGCTGCTGCATACAGCATTTTCTTGGTACAGAAAAAAAAAATTATCTACAAGATCTAATGATTATGAAGACTCCAAGAACACAAAGTGCCCTAATTATACAGCATGTAAGTCTAAGCAGATCATACCCCCTGATTGCTATATCTGCTATGGCCCTAGAAGCCACCAACCTATCTAAGGCAGTGGAAATGGGTATTTAGCAAAGTGAGCACTCAAGCAGCTCTGCAACTCTATTTAGTTTGACCTAGCTGACCTCAGCTGTTTGTTCTGTGTTGCAGTTATCAGACTAAAGACTCTCTGGTTAACGTTATTTCAACAGAACAGTATTGTTCCTACAGAGCCAATTATGCCAGAGCTATCCCTAGTGTGATTCACTGAGCCTCATTACAAATGCTGATGCAGACAAGATTTCTGCTCCAGAAGTTTAAAGATGACAGGACATTAACATGCAGCAAAAACTGATTTATTCTCTTACAGTCTCCACATCATCTGCCTGTTAAGGACCTGGAACTAAAGGGAAAAAAAAAAAAAAAACCAAAACAAAACCAAACAATTGCAGCTCTTTTGTTTATTATGTTTTATTGTGCTGTTCACCATGGGAATTAAGCCTTTGTTCTCACTAAGGAGGAACACAATTGTGACTAAAGCCACCAGAACAGATAACTGTCCTGGAAACAATTATAATAAAGCACTAGAGGACAGAGAGCACTGTGGATCTTTCACTCCCTCTAAACAACAAGCCACACCAACAACTTTTTTTCGTTTTATCTACTGACACAGCTTGCGACTAGAATCTGAAAACACACACATCCAGCCTGGACACTATCTTTGTGCTGTGCATCCAACTGTACTCCCATGGGCTGGGGAAACAAGGGCCATTCAGTCCACGAAGATAGTGGCAAATGCATTTTTTTTCCTTACTGTGAACACTGAAGCAATGAGCTTACCCTGCAGAATTGCAGAAGAATTCACTCTAGAAAAAAGAACCAAAGAAGCAAATGAAAGAGATCTTTTAGAGCACTGAAGACATATTTTTGTTAGTGATTTATTATACGCTGCACTGCTATAGTACTTGCTTTCCATACTTACCTTGCTGCTATATCACATACCTACCTTCCTATTTAAATAATTTATCAGCCCCATTCTTCAAAGATGTTCCATTCTCAAGGGACTTTTACATGAAACGGCTTTAAAAAAATAAACTTCTCAGTGCATATTTTAAAGGGGAAATAAAGCACGAGGATTACCAGAATTGCCAGTTTTGAAAATTTTCCAGAGTGCTGAACTCCCCCTTTCCAACATGAATTAAATATCCCTGTAGTGCTCTAAGGGCAGGATGCACCCGAGGCGTTTTACAGCCAAAAAACTTGAGGCAGACAAGCTGCTGAAGGTTTCACAAACAAGCTGGCAAGAAACACCGTCCAGTTACTATGACTCGAGGATGGCTGCTGGAGTGTAGCCACAAGTGACCAAAGCACTAAAAGCTCATCAGGGCAGTTTTTCTCTCCATATATAGCAATATCTAACATGCTAACTTACCATCCAGTAGCCAGTTGTACTGATCCAGACCTTTTAGCTCACTCAGCATCAGTCGTGTCATGATGTCATCTGGAATAAGCTGCCCTTGATCAATATAGGACTTGGCAAGGATTCCAACTTCTGCGAAAGTAATAGAAGTCGCATTACACTATCTTTGACCTCCAGCGAGCGAAAAAAAGCCCACAAAGCCTGCAAAAAATTTGTTCTCATCAGGGTGGCGCAGAACAGTGCAGCTGTAAACAAGACAGGCAGTATGCTTGCTGAAATTCAAAAGCAGGTGATCAGTTAGGATCTGATCATGCAATTTTGCATCAGATTAATTTGACTGGTCTGTAGCTCTGCGGATGGCAACTTGGTGTTCAGCACACCTTTGTCCCCACACTCTTTGAATAATCTTACTGCTAAGTGAAATATTAGGCTCCAAAAACTAAAATCAGGAGAGCCCACTAGGTAAAAGAGTCTTCAAAAGAAGAAGAAATGTAAAGGACACACATTCATTAAAGAGATCAGCCTTCAGATTTCCTTTCAGGGAAGCTATAGTCTCAGGTTAGTGGCTAGTTATTAACTTCACTACGAAGAGAAATGCATTTGGTATTTAAAAGAGCATTATGCAGTGGGACATGCTTGCCAGATATGTATTTTTATGATTACTAGAGTTACAAGAGGATGTTTATAGATGTTGTAAACTATTTTTGGGAGCATGCAGACACTAGTATTTTCCCGTGGAACTGACTAACCTTTAATACCCGTCACTTCGCCTATGGGCTCGCTAAAATGCCGTCCATGTGTCAGAGTTCCGGATATCACACCATGATCCTGCATGACATGCAGTACTGTGCTGCAGTTCACCCAAACTATGGGTCTAGCCAGGAAGAAATTAACTTGCCTGGGTTGCATCCGAGGCACTAAGTCTCCGTGGCCTTCGTTTATAAAACAATTACCCAATAATGTAAATCACCCAGAATAGCAGCTGGACTGTTTTTATTGTGGATCTGCAGAAGCCTTTACTTGCAGCCAATTCATATCTAGTTACAGTAAACTAAACAGAAGAGAAAATGGGATGGACTGACATACCAACAGAAGATACAGCCACTTTCAGCAGAAAGCAATGATGAATGCCAATCCCATCACCTGATGCAGTATTGAAACATGCAATACTACAGAGGCCTGTCTTCAGACAAGGCAACTGAAAGGCAATAGATGCCCTCAAGTAATACAAACAGTAGCTTTGGTGCTGAAAAAACAACCAAAAAAAATTAATAAAAGGACAATTTCCCCTTATTGGGTGTTCACAGCTATAGTCAGGCTTTAAATGGAATTTAATTTAGAAATAGGTGCTGTGCACCTTGGTCAGACTTCTAATAATCATCACAATGTGGAAAAGAGTCAGACTCCAGTGCTTCAGTCCTCCAGCACATCACGAACTGGAAGGGTGACAGACTGTCTGGGTACAAAGTGTCTACACTTTTCCCTACCTCCCTTCTTCAAAGCCAGCAAGTCATACACTTTTTCTTATTCTAGTGTACTTTGAACTATGTACCCTGCAAACATAGGCTGGGAGGAGGAATAAATTACATCTAGCTAGTTTAAAGTGCACTTGATGCTTGGATCTGTTACTGATTTATGCGGCAGCATTGCTCTAGCCAGAATGATCTAAGAATATGCACAAGGCAAGGCTGATAGAGAATGATACTAACATGTTGTGAGAAGACAGATGAATTTTTGGGCCCAGAGAGGTTTAGAGTATGGCAAGCTATAAGGCACACAGGTCCTATTATTAGACCAACAGAGCTGGAAACATGCCACCTCTCTCTACAAACTTCAGGTTGTTTAGAAAAGTCATTACAGAAGAAAAAAACAGGCACAACTGTTCCCAAATAGTTATATTAGGACAGAAAGTCCTAATTTTTTTCCCCCCTGTTGTTTGGAATGGGATTTTGTGAGGTTATGTTTTTATTTTGTTCTGGTTTTTCAGCTTAGGTCTGAAATCACTACAGGCATGGCAATCTTTGGAATTAAAGGCAACACAGGTTTCTTTCCTGTCTAGGTGGTTTCAGATACACAAGCTCTATCCACATTCAGACGACAGGCTGCTTAGCACGAGAGGTGGTCGCAGACTCTCCACTCTCTAAAGCAGCAGAACATAGTAATAACTGCAAATGGCTAAGGACACTCGTGCATTCAACAGGATTTTTCAAAGTCCATTTTCACAAGTCAGCAAATGCCAAAAATTGCACCGTATCACTACTGTTAATTATATTTAATTTTCCAAGGTTTTTAACTGCCCAATTTAGTCTAACACAGTCCACAGAGAACAGGAAATCGCAGGAGTCTGCTAGTATAATCAAAATCCATAAACCTTTTGCTACGACTACTTGTCAAAACTCCCCGAGTTCCCTCTCAGTCCCTCTTCCTCCTTCAGTGTATTACTCCTGCTACCTCAGCATTCATCTCAATCCTTTGGAGACTGTTTCTGCAACCAGTGACTCGCTTTCAATAGAATTATGACAGAGCTTCATCTGGGTTAATTGTGAGTGAAAAACTCTGTAGCTGATTCCTTTAAGTTCTATGCTAGCTATTCAGAGCAAACTTCATAATCTCTTACACCCTCCATGGGCTTCTCTCCTCACATCCACGGTTTTAAAGTATCTGCTACACTTCCATTTCACATTTTGGTTGTCCTTTGCATTCTTTCATCTGTTCAACTCACCTAGAACAAACACTTCGCTGAATCACTTTTCTTTACACTGCTTCACGGCTCCCTCCTCAAATCAAGCAATGGGGTATTCCCACTCACAGTCTCCTCTTCTCACACACCCTTCAGCTTGATTCTGGCGCTCTTTGACCTTGCCTCCAAAACATACTGAAAGAGCACAAAAACCTGAAATGTTTAGTAAAAAACATATTTGCTTCATCTTCTGGAACACCCTCCCTTCTCACTCAGTCTTACCTACACTGAAAGATTCTAACAGCAACACTTAAGGTTTTGTGACCCTCTGTACATAAAAACTTACGCTTGCACAACCAAAGAGGCAGAAAAAGCATGAATGTGATCAGATATGCCTGCAGAGGTGGTGCTCCTAGCAAATGTTTAACTTACCTGTATCAGCTGTAGTAAAGTCAGTCAACTAAGCCAAAGTCATTGTTCTTACAAAACAAACAGAATTTGTGTGAAAAGAGATGTGGAAATCATAATTGATTTCATAATACAGATAATTTTTCACCCTCAAACATGCCTACAAGCTTCCAAAACCAAGACTGCCAGTTACCTAACCGTAACACTGCAGTGATGCTTAGAAGTGAATGCAGCCCTCTGCAGCTTCCAAGTGCTGGAAATAAGGATACCCTTAACTTCATCACATGCCATCTGAAATGGTTCTTAAAAGGTTTTCGACCCCACCATGAAAAGAAGCAGATGCAGATGTTAGGAGAGGGCCTCTCATTATTGCAAAAATCCAGCAGAGAGAGGGGTCGTGGCATCTCAATCGAGTGCCAGAGGTCAAGCCAGGACAAGACGCTAAGTATAATTCCCATCATTACCTAATACAAGCAGCTCTGTATGCAAACACAGGCCACGCTGAAACCTAAGCGCCATGTGAACTTGTTGTAAGGTAATAATAATTTTAAAAGCACAAAGTCAGCACCTTGAAACTTTTTCCCACTGTTTCTGGAAAGCACCAATGCCTGCCAGTTCAGGCAAGGCCTTCTCATTTTGGAATAGCTGGTAATTCTAGTTGCCTTTCCTTCCAGCCATCTGTAAGAGATCTGGAAAAGTCTTATCGCTCAGAACTCCTCCTCCTCCTGCCCCATCTCTTAAAAAAAACAAACATGAGTACTCTTCCCTTCCAAGACGTTTCTGCTGCAAAACTATCAGAAACACCTACAAAAACCCAAAAAAAAAAAAAAAAAATAAAAACCCCCAAGCACTTATAAAAAGCACACCAGGAAACAATCTCGCGTTATGAAAACCGGGAAAACGGGATAAACCCCAGATACACTCCCGAAGAGGCTGCCGAATTACAGATTTTTGGAAGCCCCTCGGCCTCCGGCCTTCAAGAAGAGCTGCCTGAGGCCGGTCCCCACGGAGGGCGGGGGGGTAGGAGGAGAGAGGAGGGGGGGAGCGGGGACGATCCTTACCCCGCTTCCCCCCCCGGGGTCCGGACCCTCCCGGTTCCCACCTGTCTTCTTCTGCATGTTGTCCCTCAGCAGGTCGCCGCTGGAGAGGTGCTTCACCCCGAAATGCTTGATAATCCGGGCGGAGACGGTGCCTTTGCCGGAGCCCGGCGGCCCCATGATGACGGCGCGCAGCAGCGGCGGCACCACCATGCTAGAGCCCGAGCGGGAGCCGTAGCGGGAGCCGCTGGGGACGGGCTGGGGACGGGCTGGGGACGAGCAGGGGACGGCAGGAGCGGAGCGCCGCCTTCCCGGGGAGCGCCGCCTCAGCCGCCTTCGGTAGGAGCGGGGATGGGGGGGGGGGGGGGGGGGGTGGGGTGGGGGGGGGGGGGAGGGTAGGCCGAGGCCGGTCCTCCTAGGGAAAAAACAGCTTTTCTGGCTGTCAATCAGGGGCAGGAAGGAAAGATCCTTTACGTAAAAGCAGCGGGGGCGGGGGTAACAAAGAGAAAACAACAAAAAAAGCAAAAACAAACACCAAAAAAAAAAAGGCAAAACAAACGCACACCCAAACAGGAAGGCGAATCGCGTGAGAGGGGGTCAGGCGTGAGGGGAAACCTGAGGGCACCTGACAGGAGGGGGTGGGGAGGCGGGAAGGGATGGTGCCCCTGGGCCCGGCACTGGTGAGGCCTCACCTCGAGTCCTGTGTTCTGCTCTGGGCCCCTCACTACAGGAAGGGACATGGAAGTGCTGGAGAGTGTCCAGAGGAGAGCCACCATGCTGGTGAGGGGTCTAGAGAACAAGTCCTATGAGGAGAGGCTGAGGGAACTGGGCATGCTTAGTCTGGAGAAGAGGAGGCTGAGGGGGGACCTCATTGCCCTCTACAACTACTTGAAAGGAGGTTGTAGAGAGGTGGGTGTTGGCCTCTTCACCCAAGGGAATAATGAAAGAACCAGAGGAAATGCTCTAAAGTTGCGGCGGGAGACGTTTAGATTTGATATAAGGAAGAATTACTTTCCTGAGAGGGTGGTCAGGCACTGGAACAGCCTGCCCAGGGAGGTGGTGGAGTCACCATCCCTGGAGGTATCTAAGAAACGTGTAGACATGGCTCTTCAGGGCATGCTCTAGTGCCCGAGATTGTTAGTCTGTGTCTGTTTGTGGGTGGGTGTGGTAGGTTTTTTTGTGTGTTTTTGTCTGGTTTTTTTTTGGTTGGACTCGATGATCTCAAAAGTCCATTCCAACCATGAATATTCTGTGAATCTGTGATTCTGAGAGGCAGGGGTCCGTCTCTTCTTCCAAGTCACAGAAGACAGGGCAAGAGGGAATGGCCCCAAGTTGCACCAGGGGAGGTTTAGATGGGATATTAGGAAAAATTTCTTCACCGAAAGGGTAATTAAGCGTTGGAACAGGCTTCCCAGGGCTGTGGTGGAATTGCCATCCCTGGAGGTACTCAAAAGACAGGTAGATGTGGTGCTGAGGGGCATGGTTTAGTGTTGTCAGTGTTAGGTCGGTGCTTGGACTCGATGATCTTAAAGTTGCCTTCCAATCTAGGCAGTTCTCTGATCTTCCCTAATGGTCCCTGAACAACCTCCCCAAGCCCTTCTGCTCAGGAGCCCCTTTTCAGTTGCCCTTGGAGCCTCCCTGCCCCAGACTGTTCCCATACTTAGTCCTGACCTAAGGTAAGGATTTCCTGGACTGACCTGGGACATCTGGCTGTCACCTGGTGGCTGCTGAGGCTGCTGACACTCTTACTACGACCCGGCAGATAAAACTTTGTAAGATTCAATTTGAAACTTTAGAAGGCAGGCATTCATTTATTGTGGCACTGGGTGCACAGGGGATCATGCCTCCTGTTGTGCACGCCAGATCTTGTCGTCAAGCTAAATTTATACACATTCAGTGTATTTCCAAGAAAAAATTAGCACATTCATTACATTTTCTGATAATTCATTTACATGTTATAATGAGCTTTTGGGCATGCGTAGTCATGCCTTCTGGTAGACCTCATTTTGAGTGAGGGTCATTTCTTCTGCAATCTTCATCTTCTTCATCTGTCCTTTGGCTCACTTTTCACATTGGCAAAACATTTTAACTCCTCAATTAGCCACTAAAACTAATGATCTTCCTGCTGCCGCCTGTTTGTCAGACAGTGTCTGTATTTATTGCATGCTTGTTTTAGGCCGCCACGTTCTCAAAGACACATCCATCCTTTCTTACCTTACTAAGTCCTTGAAATTATTTGGGGTGGTTACTAAAATAGCTACATTTCTTCTCTAAAAGAACATTCCATACAGTTTGACCATTTACGGAATACATAAAGACCTCTTTAGGTATCCCCACATCCTGGGGCTGTCACTGCCTGGCTCAGAACCTTGGCTGTGGGGTGAGGGAGCTGACTCTGCTGCCCTTGGCTGCCGGCTCACCCACCAAGTTCCCTGCAGCTGCCCTTGCTCCTGCTGGTCTCTGGCCAAACAAGCTCCACCTGTCCAATGGTAGTGTGAGAAACACTGGCTCACACTTAGAATTTAAAGAGGACAAAGTCGCTGAAGCAAAGGTATAAAAAAATTTATTGTACGAAACAGTGCTGAATTGGGTGCATCTCAAAGCAGAGGCACACCAATCTTTTAGCTTTTAGATATTTTATACGCTTATCCCAGCCAGCTGAGTTTCTGTCTCTCCTCATTGGCTGAGAAGTTGAAGCTCACATTCTTCCCGACCACCTGACCTATAACATCTAGTTTGCACCTTTTTACCTTATAAAGCCCACACACCTACTCTACAAAATCATTATCCTAAACACACCTTTGATTAGTTGATTACACTACACGCTACACATTATTTCACAGTCTTTACTATTATCTACTGTCCAGTGTTAGTAGTTACAAGCACCCTGGTGGTTGTATCCTTATCTTCATCAGTCACCCTCTAGATGACCTTCATCCACTTGTCAGCCTTCACAGTACTTTGTCCCCTTATCAGTCTGCCATCAGCCTGGCTCTCTTCACCAAGATGTCTTCCCGTAAACCAGGATCCCTGGACAACCCCTGGGCATTTCTAAGGATTAGTTCGGTACAATGGATGAGACTCCACTATCACCAAGCCTCCTCCGTCAATACAGACACACCACCCTCTAGATGACCTTCATCCACTTGTCAGCCTTCACAGTACTTTGTCCCCTTATCAGTCTGCCATCAGCCTGGCTCTCTTCACCAAGATGTCTTCCCGTAAACCAGGATCCCTGGACAACCCCTGGGCATTTCTAAGGATTAGTTCGGTACAATGGATGAGACTCCACTATCACCAAGCCTCCTCCGTCAATACAGACACACTAACAAAAAATATATCAATTAGCTGAAGCAAAACTGAGCCCATTTCTCACAGTAGGCAGCTACATTTTTTAAAAGCTGAGCTTTTTTTTCGGATACATGAATGGGAACTGCAGCAGGTTGGCCTTGTTTTGGAGCAGGCAAACCACATCCAGAGGTCCTTTCCCACAGATACAGTTCAGTGATTCTCAGCTACAGCAGAACACGGGGTTTTCATCAAAGCAGGAGGTTGTACCACTTGCTGAGTGTTCACTGTCATGTCCGCACCAGTAGAAGTGAGCCTTCCTGCTAAAGGTTCTGAAGATGCTAGTGGATCTCAGCCAGCTGTGAGCTGGAAGGGCTGTGGTGAACAAGTGATCTCAAAGAAAGCAGAACTTAAAACAAAACATTAATGAAATTCAGCTTTCCATTTTAAAACCTTGTTTAATTGGAGTGGTTTTAGAAGAGATTTGCAACAGCAGGAGGAAAACATTCAAATGGGTATGCGGTACTTAACAACAGTAGGAAAATGGGAATATAGCCCAAAACCTGCCCGGTCAACAAAATAAATCTCCCTAACAATTAAGTAGGGAGGCACTGGCTTGGCACAGAAATGTTAGCATGAGCATAAATCTTACTCCACTGAGCAATGTGAACCTCGGTAATTGAACCCAGTGATACCTTTATTCTAGAATGCAGTAGGACATAACTAGTGAAACATTCAGGGCCTTAGGAATGTTCCCAGGGCAACATCTCACTCTGCCAAAGCACCAGAGTCTTAAATAAAATTTGTCGACAAAGGCCATTTAAATGTTAGAAGCCATGCTGTTCGTTTTCAGCTCCATGCTTCACAGGCTTCTGAAAGGTGGAAGTCCACAAAATGCATAGGCAACATCTGAGCGTTCCTACAATAAATCTGTGGGAAAATGGAAGGTATTGTATTAAATAAATATGCAACAAATAACTGGATTTGTCAGAGAGGTTGCTAACCCTTATCTCCAAAGCCACCATGTACAAAAAGCAGAAATAATTTCTCTGACTGTTAAGGAGGGAACCTGAGGTCCAGCTTCCCTGCAGGCACTGTTGAGCAGCTCAGAAAAAACTCCACAAACAACTGCTAAAGTAATCCCACTGTCGAAGACTACTTAGAAACCTGCCTGAACTTCATAAAGGATACACAAAGAAGGGGTGGAAGGGATAGAAAGGCACTTCTCTCACACGCAAACATGCTCTTACTAACCTATGGCCTTTGCAGAACAAAAGTGGGTATTCATAGTATAAAAATTATAGTAAAATAAATGGTTGTTCCCCTCTCCTTGACTTTCTTTGCCAGAGTACAAACCTTGTCCTACTGGCTTTGTGCAATAGTTGTGACATATTCAGAAGTGGAAAAAGAAATTGTGGCAGGATTTATAATACTGAAATAGATCATTGGTTCATTACTTTGTACACAGTTTTTTACTCAGATACTCTATATTTAAAAAAATGCACATGATTTCTTCTGCCATCATTGTTTTGATGTTTGGAACATGACATTTGATTATCTTCATTCAGACTTAGTGATCAATGTTTAATAAATACAATTTGCATTGTATTCTGAATTAACCCTTTTCTGCTTACACACCAGATGCCTCATTCACACATGTAGCATATAGGTATAAGTTAAGATCCTCACTCTTGTTCAGTGAACTTATTGAAGTTGCCCTCATGGTGACTCAACAGTAATCAAAATCTTGTTTCTAGCAAGTCCAAATGTTCTTTCCAATACAGAGTTTTGGATTTCTCAGCATTTTTCAAGCATAAGAAATGTTTAAAGAGGCTTGTTAAGACTTAAATTGTCAGAAGAGTTACTGCCGTGTCTTCTCCTTGGAGGCCTGAATGCTCTCTTTTGAGATTGATACAGAATTCCTTTAGTACTGTCAGATAGCTACTTCCCAATTGTTATATGTTATACCAAAATGGTTGCTTACATGGGAAAGAAGTTATAGTATTAGACTGACTTTGGTAGGGC